TTCTATCGCATCGCCATTTGGACGCGGGAGGCGGGGGACGCAAGCGCAGATGAGCTGGACCAGAGATTGCTGGACATTGGCAAGCACCTCAAGACGAACATTATGGGATGGAAATTGGGTCAAAATGTGGCTTCCGGATTGCAGTCCGACGTCGAGTTTCAGTCGCACAAGGAGAGCGAGAAAAAAAGAGGAAAGAGGTTCACTGTATGAGGAGGAGGAGGAGAAGGAGGAGAAGGAGGAGAAGGAGGAGGAGGTGGTGGTGATGGTGTGCTGCGTGTTGGGATCTACGAGCGGCCGAGCGTCACTGGCGCAGGTCTTTGTTGCCCTGGGAGCACAGCGCGTTCTTCGGAGTGGAAAGGTCGCGCGACATGAGTGCACTGGCCTGGGCAAGCAGGGCGAAGGAATCTTGAGCTGCGGCTCGATCCAACAGCTCCGTGATGCCGAAGACAGCAGGATCAGATCAACAACGAGCATTAGCTCTTGTCTCATCTGCAGCAAGTCAGAAGAGCTTCGACGCGACCACACCGTTCGCTACGATGTCGATTTGGTAGGTTGCTGACTATCACATCGCGCAGCCTACACCTGTTCCTTTTCCCTTTCGCCTTTCGCATACATTGCATCCTATTCTCTCCCGTTCTGGTCACCCCAAAAAAATTCACATGAGAGTCTGTCAACTATGGCACCTACGCTATGCTAGTGAGCGGATCGAATCAAGAGCGAGCTTGTGATAGGCGCTCTCTTCCGACGGTACAGAGGCTTCAACACACGGCTCGCAACTCTTCACGCTTTGGGCAATGTTCGATTGGCAAGCTGCGATTGCGAGCGCCAGGTAGCGCAGCGCAGCGGGTGTGCGATTCGGAGCGAAGCTTGACCGCTGCGAACCATTCAGCGGGATGCAGGAGCTTAGCTTGAATGCTCCTTCGTTCTCACATCGAATCTTGTCTGTCTGCTCGCCTGCTTTCAGAAGATGCGACATGCAACATTCACGATTATGATTCAATTGTGCTTCGAGAATAGAGTACCCACGCGCTTTGCCCGTCGTCCAAATGAGAATCTCAATACCGGTAAGGTCACTGCAGTCTTGCGTTAGTCACAGTCAAGAGTACGTGGGGTCCCCATCCGGTTGAGAGAGCCTTGCAGCAGAGTCGCCCTCAAGCCATCGT